AAGGAAAAAAAAAAAAAACGAAAAAAAACGCGAGAGTGTGCGTGAGTGAACCTATTTTTTATTCGTGGTGTCCCGTGGTGCTAAATCGGACTGGCCGAGTCCCGGAATTTTGGTGTCCCGGAATTTTGGACATGCCCAAAGGCGTGCAAGGGGGTTCGCTCCGGTTTATGTCTCTTTCTCACATATCACTGCAGGAAAAACTTCAGACAAAAAAAAAAAAGAATCCACTGTGTTGATTGTATTTTTGACCACATTTCCTCCTTCTTCGTGGTTCGTTGTTGGATGGCTTCCACACCGTGTTTTTCCTCGTTGATCTTCGTTAATCCTCGTTAATCCTAATCCTTATTCGTATCCTGGTAGATAATTTAAGACGAATTTGATCCTTTGTTCGCCGAGGTCCCTTCAAGACGGACAATCAATTGGGGATACGGTAAAGTCGCTGGAAAAAAAAAATATCAAATGAGATTTCTATATTTTACCACCAATTTGTATAAAGAAATGGCCGGTGTCCCCCCCGATTCGCATCGGCTCGTATTTTCGTAAGGAAAACCTTAACCGGACAGGAATTTCTTAACCGCCGAAGTTACCGCGCTTCGTACAACCATCCATTGCTCAGGAAGAACTTGGGAATGCGAGGACAAAATGTTTCTTGGATATTTGTTTAGTGTTTCTTGGTGTGCACTGTAAGAGACGATTCGTTTGTTTTTTTTTTTTTTCATCACCGTCACCTGTACAGCAAAGCCATGCAAACACCGTAGGAGAAACACGATCGTGGGTACTGATAGGTACTGACTGGTGTATTTGGTTGAAAGATTTGTTTTCTCGAATTCTTTGTTGGACCGACGATGCTGTGCTTTCCGTTTTCTCGACGGGAGAGGATGCGAGAGAGTTTTCCCGTAGTTTGATTCAGCATTTGGGAGATGAGATACAAAAAAAGGGAATAAAATTGGTATTTATACAAATTCCACTGGAGTGTCGGTATTTTTTTTTTTATATTCCACCCGGAATTTCGCAGAACTTCCCATTACAAGTAATAAGGATTGTAATTAAGCAGAAATGTTACCGGGCTTACGTGATATTTCACTTCAGGAAAAACGAAGCTTATACAGGGTGTCCCGAAACTTGCCACTCACGTTTGAAATTTAATTATAATTTACTTACTATTTTACAATGAAGAAATTAAGGAATGAAAGATAAGGATATATTATGAGTAAAGTTTATTAAGAGTACGAGTGCAGTGTAAAGTGACTTTTAGGACACCCTATGTAAGCTACATATGCAAAACTCCATCATAAGCTTTGCAATCTTTATGCAGCATAATCTAAACAGAAGTGGCATGAGCTCAAGCTAGTATCACATGGGTGATACTAGCTTGAAAAAAAATTCAGAAATGACAACGCCAGCTCAAACCAACTTCTCAACAATGTATTGCGTGTCTAACCTCATTTTTTAAATTATTGTAATTGTTTGGCACTGTTCAATGAAAGTTTCAGATTTGTTCATACTTGTCTTCTATTACTGCCATGGAAAATGGCCAGAAACATTCACGTTGACAAATATCAATTCGGTACAATGGTAATGAGTTAATGCATGGCCTGGGAATGCAGCTTACAGGGAACCAACCAGACATGAAATGCCATTTGTTCCCAAGTTTTGTACAATCACACTGCTAAAGATGCCAAGCCTGAAGCCGAATTGTGCGGTTGAGTTCGATCACGTCACACCCGGTTGATGTCAGAGGAGAGATGCAAATGATGTCAGAGACCCAGGGCCATCCTCAGGCTGTTTGAAGTCTGGATCCAGCATCAGGAGGAATGAGACAACCCCAAAGCCTGCCAACAAGCTGGACAACTTGAGGAACTCGTGCCGCCTTTCCCGAAACTCCTCGGGGAGGACCTCGAAGAAGGTGACATATAGGAAGGAGCCGCAGGCTAGTCCCTGAAGTACGTAGGACGAGATGGACAGAGCCGTGCCGGATTCGGAGCCCACGACAGACATCCCGATGCCTATGCCGAGGGGGCTCATGAGGGAGAAGAGGGCGATGGCCCAGAGCATCGCAGAGAAGCGGAGCCGTGTCTTGGCCAGGCTGAGTCCAAGACTGAAAGCGATGATGCTTTTGTGAAGGATGACGGCGATGAAGAGCCCCAGTGCATCGTTCTCCTTCAGCTGGATCCCCACAGCAATACCCTCAAAAATCGAATGCAGGCTGAGAGTGAGAACGAGGATCACGGCACGGAGTCCCGAATGATGCGGTTGCGGCCGTGAGGGTTCCCCCTGGATCAGCGGCTCTTCTTCCCCCTCGCGTTGGTGGCGTGTGACAATTTGCTCCAAGATCAGGAGAAGAATTGCTCCAAATGCAATGATGAACATCCCCAAAGGATATAAGGTTGGGAGGAGTCCCGTTGCTCGCAATGAATCTTCCTCGCTGTTCACCTGACGAATAAAGAAGAGGATGGGAAATTCTAAATCAGCAACACTGAAATTCAGCTTAAATTCAATACTTGAGTACACAAATACCTGGTCTCTGAATTTTCCTATACCAACACCAATAACAATATTGACTACAGTGAATTTTCATAAGTAATGTGTCCATTAAAAGTTGATATTGATTCAAATTCATACAGCACAAAAGGGCATACTTCTTCAAATGCATCTCACAGGACCAAAATTCATGAAAGACTAACACTTTTTCATCTGATTTTCAATTACTGATACCAACATCTTGATGAAAAGGATATGTGATGTGATGATGGTGATGATGATGATGATGATGATGATCATCATCATCATATATCATAACTGTTGACCTATGCAAAATATAACTTCCATTTACCTCTATGAACATGACAGTACAGTATGAGGAGTAATACAACTCTTGAAGAGAAATGCTTCCTTTTGAGAAGACAAAAACATTCTCATGATCCACTCAAACATACTGTTGCATTCCACATAACCACAAGTGTTAGCACTTAGTTTGAAAGGTTTCAGCCATGTCTAACATTTATCCATCAACCAAATTTTCATGCGAGGTAGTTCCAAGTGCATTTCATACTGTTAAAATAATCACTGTGACACTTGATAACTGCATCAGAATTACTACTGCTCATAGTTCATTTTGTCCATTTCTTCTACATTATTTTGGTGGAAGTCCACCCACACAGATACACTTCTCTCCACACCATACATAGCAACTCAACTCAGGGAATTATGTTCCCATACATGGAACCAGACTGCTTGCTAGGCACTGTTCACATTGTATCATTGAATGTGACACTTGAAAACAGAATATACCAGAACAAAACATCACAGATCTGAAACTCTGACTTCACATTTCATGGATGATAATAATGGCATACCAAAAAATACTCCCGTTTGTACAATAGTGAAACAGGAAAATGCAAATGTGACATTGGATAGGAATGAATCAAAGTTGAAGGTCACTTTTCCTTTTTGGAAAATTCTGCTACTCATCACTCCAAAAGTGAAATGAGCAGCCATCAGCAAAAATGGGATGAAGATCAAAGCATGAAGGATACCTTGGGTATGAGATCAAGAAGGCAGACGGTGAGGAAGACCCCACCGGAGAAGCAGTTGGCCATGCACAGGAAAATGGCCAAGGGAGATTCGGCCGGGTCGCCCTGCGTCGGCGACCCGCGCGTTGCGATCCGTCGCATCAGCTTCAGCGGGATCAGCCCAAAGATCAGGGCCAGGAGGAACATGGTTCCTATCATGATCCCCTTGATCACTAATAGATCCATCCTGGCTTCTCAACATCACCAGGCAGACTACCTGAAGCAAAGGAATTAAAAGGACAGGAAATTCTCCAACTTTAATTTGAAAATATTTTGATTCTGGAGGTTCCCTTAGAACTCAAACTTAGGAAACCGATGGCAACCCATTTCTGCCTGAGAAAGGGCATGGTTGAGAGCATTCATCTGCCTATGAATGCAAATAGCAAAAATGGTGAAAAAAACTTGCATCAAGTTCAGCATTTCTTGAGAAATAAGACAAACACTGGATGGAGCTCAAATAATCTGCAGTGTATTATGAAAAGTAGAGTGCGAATATTAGGTTCCATTGTGGATAGAGTGCAGAGATTCAAATGGCAATTTGTCATTATCTAGGATATGCCATAGAGTGCAAAAATACGAACTTGCTTCGGTTTACATTGGCAGTCCCAAAAGAAATGGGGGAAACAAACACCTGTTACGTAGTCTGTCACAAAGTGCCCAAATGCTCAAGGTTCACAAATGCTACTGGTACGAAAAAAATTCGGGAAGAGATTCACACATTACAATGGAAAAAAGTATTGTACTACTAATGAGCATTTGATATTACAAAGATGTGAAAATGTTTCCTCATGCAGGACAAGGATGAGTTACTGCAGTGAATGGATCTAATTATAAATACTGTCAAACACTTCCAAAAAGAGTGCTGGAAATAAATAAGATCAAGGAAAAATAAAAAATAGAAATAGTCTGTACAGAGAACAATGCATTATTGGGGTGAAATTCAAACTCACCATAAAAATACAAACTCAAGAAGAACATTAATTATGAAATACACCATAAATACAGGCAATCAAAATTTAAAACATAGTCAAATCTTGTTGATCCGTACATCAACTACCCGGTGCTTTCCTTGATACATCTGCAACCAGCAATGGACATTTCCAATGCGTGCCAGAACGGCCCTTAACCTGAAATCAGATGCTCCCAATCTGGCACATATTCAGGCTCATGCGTTGTTGTTCAGACCCATGTGTCAAGCAATCCAGAATGCTCATTTGCATGCACAACAGAAGATTGGATTCATCTGATAGAACAACAATTGATGTTGAAACGTCTTGCACATCATCTAGTCACAAATAGGTCAACTGAAAAAAATGAATTGTCAAAAAAATCTAGTGTATCCTACACAACCATTATCCATTTCATCTGGATGCCATACACAACAAGGTCCTGATAACCCTGCAAGGTCTGGTGCATCTAAAAACACCAGGGAGGTCTGGATGCATGAATGAGGGCATTGTGGGTGAATGAGGGCATTGTGGGTGAATCATGGGGCATCATGGGTCCCCAAGTGGTGGTCCCTCAGACTTCCCCCCATCCACATTGGGGTCTTGGAAGCAATGGATTTCAACTAAAATTAATATATTTCAGCTAAATGAATGCTAATACTGGTCATATTCCCAAGTTCCCTGCATCGTTCCCACCTGATTGCTCCTGACTTTCAAGGATAAAAATGGGAGTTCAACAGCCACTGAGAGGGATAGATCCCCCGTCCCCTTTTGCTCTTGTAATAATGAAATAAATATTTAACAAAGTAAATAAAACACTTTCCTTTCACATCGTGAAGCAAAGCATAATTATGGATATCTTTAAGTGCATCAAGCTGAATGAACACTATGCACCAGAGAAGTAAATTTAAATTAAGGCATACCACAATACACTGCACTTTCTTTTCACCCTGAAGAGAGAAGAGGTCCCTTGATCAATTTTTCAGCAATCAAGACATAAAAAACCCTGTTCCCTTAAGTCCAGATTAACGAGAATTGACTCGAGAAAGAATTACCCAACTGCCACAACTGCCAGACGGTTCCACGAGAACAGCTGCCATGATGGACTGACTCACACGATCGGCTTAAAACGGCTTAAAACGGGGCGGAAGGGGGATGCATAGCTGAGGCAGACTAATGGAGGGGAAATGTGAAACGCTTGGCTCGAATGAGCAAACTTTGTTTCTCGTCAGTACCGGCACTCTAGGAAGTGCGACGGAAGTACTGTACTGGGTACATGCACCCACATGACACAGACTGGACATCACAGAATATCAAGAATGACTAGAAAGGATGAGTGAGGAGTCGACTAGCACGATAAAAGGATGAGGACTAGAGGAGCACCTTTGGCCGTCGTCACGATAGCAAACACGGAAGGAGGTAATCATCGATACGAGCGTGGAGGAATCCAGGTCATTTTGATTGGGGTCCAGGCGACGGTCGAGTTCTTGCATAGGTCACACAGCCGAGCTGTATTTGGGTTTCTTGAGTCGACGCACGGTGAGCGGGAGGGGACCCGAGAAGGTCTTGAGGACGATGGCGACCTGCTCGGGCCCCAGGCAGGTGAGGTCCCGGCCCCCGGCGGCCTTGATCTCGTCCCCGCGCATGAGTTCCCCCGCGACGCTGGCCACGCTCCCCTCCATCACATCACATATGAAGACCTTCTTCCCTCCTTTGAGGCCCGACAGGGTCAGACCCAGCCCCTTCTCCTTCTTCCGCATCAGATTGACCTCGAACTCCTGGTAGACGTTCTCCAGCTTCTCCCGGTAGATCAGCAATTGGACCCGATTCTGGATCTGGGCATTCGCGAGGGCAAACTTCGCCTCCTCGTACGTCGCATTTCGCAGATTCTCGCGACAGACCTCGAGGATCACGTCCCCCGGGCGGAGCCGCCCGTCTCGCTCCGCCGCACTCCCTGAAAAGATCTCGTTGACGAGAATGTACCTCAGGGGCGAGTTGACGCCCCCGACGATGGAGATCCCCAGAGGATGCGCCTCCTTGTTGATCTCGATCAGCGTCTCCCACTCGGAGACGATCGGGCAAGCGGATGGATTGGAGTCAGGGGCCTGGATCGTCGGGATGGGCGTCGGAGTCCTCCGACGTCCATCCGGCTTCTCGTCCTCCACAGGCGCCAGACACGGCGAGACCGGCCTCGGCGACGGCTGCCGCGAGCTCGCCGCATCGGACGGGTTGCACACTCGCATCACCAGTCGCCCCTCGACGTTGCGCAGGATCCGGACCGCATCGTCGTAGTCGACCCCCAAGAGACTCTCCTCGTTGACCGAGAGGATCATGTCCCCGACGCACAGCCCCATCTGCTGCGCCATGCTCCCATCCTGGATGTCAGAAATGAAGATCCCCTGACCCAACTCGGCGTGTCGGCCTTCGATGATCATGATCCCGATCCCCTGATTCCCCTTGTAGAGCGTGACGTTCCGGGAGGACGGGAAATTCGACAAGTCCGCTCCGATGTTATAATCCCGCACCATGGGATAGGACTTGAGGGGTTGGACAGCCAGGTCGTCCAAGCCGGGCTTCCGCAAGACGATAAACTTTATGTACGGCGTGCCCAACTGCTTGATGATGGCCGACGCATTCAAATGCGACCGACCGCGCAAAACGATGCCATTCGCCTCCAGGATCTCATCCCCCACGACCAGCCTCCCCGTCTGGAAGGCACAGCCCTTGGGATTCAGCCCTGCGATGAGCACGCTCATCTTGGATCGGTCTTTGTTCCCAGCCAGACTGATGCCCAAGCTTCGCCCATTCTTTGGGACCTCCACGACCAACAATTCCCCATCCAGATGCGCATACTTCATCTGTATCTTCCGCGGGGTGTAGCCGAACTCGTCCTCCTCGAGGGAGTCGGCGTGTCGCTCGTCCTTCGGGAGGCGGACGTTCGCAGCACTGCGCCGATCGATCCTCGTCTTCACCTGAACGTTCGAATCCTCATCCAGGGTATCGTCTTCGTCCGGCTCCTCGCTCTCCGTGTCAATCGTGACGCTGGACTCCGCCTCGGACCGACAGTCCTCGCTCATGCGCCTCGGCGAGAGATGCTGCCCCCCGTCCGAGCCGTGCTGGAAGCGCATCATGCACCCGGGCGCCTCCAACCCCTGCACCAGCAGCGACAACGAGCCCTCTGCGGCTCGGATCACCTCGACCGCCTCCTCGAAGCTCGCGTCTCGCAGGTCATGCCCGTTCACCTCGAGGATGCGGTCTCCCACCTGGAGCTGACCGTTTTGAGCTACTAGACCCCCGGGGAGGATCTTGCGAACGAAAATTCCCTTGACGGGCTCTGCCGATGACTCCAGGGTTGCCACCGATCCTCCTGCACAGATGGGAATTCCACGATTAGGGAGATCACAATTTCCGCCTAATTCATTTACTGGTAACTGACGGACACTAACCGTCAGTTAACCAAAGTTCTAAGAATGGCTTCCAAAGAGGAATGCATTTTTTTATTACTAAGGAAAAGGGGATACTGGAAGGAACGGAAGTTTTTCCTCTCCAATGTCATCCATCTCTCTTTCCGTCATCTTTCCCCCCATCTTTCATTCTGTCCAATTCTGTTCCTTTCACTTCTTTCTCATGTTTTGATCTTTCTTCCTCCACTCCTCACTCCAAAGGAAAAAGAAGCCGAACTTTGGGAAATAGTTGGGAGCAACATGGGAAAATCTCTACATCGCAGGAGTCCGGGAATTTACCGCCACATGATTAACCAATAACCAACGTAATCAGGTTACCCAAGGGTTATCCAAATTGTTGGTGAAATTTCCAGTAAGGTGAAAAATTATATAGGAGAGAAGGCTTTCTGTTATTTAATTTACGAATTCTCAAAATTTTTAGCCACTTGTTTCCTGACTGCGAGTATAATAAATGACCCCCCCCCCTTCCCGACGAGTCCCCAAGAACCCAGTTCAAATTCGGAAAAGAAGACAGAGAGAAACCAGACATTGCGTGAAAATAAATGGGTCACATCGGAGGAAGTATATACAAACGGAGATAGGAAGGCTAAACAGCCTTCCTAATTCGAGAGTCGCATTCCCTTTCCGATTCTTCCGACGGTACGTGGCAGAAAGGGGTGAAAACCTTCCGGAAGTGAGTCAAAATTAATCGAGAGCATATCCCCACATTAATTGGGAGAGCGTTATGAGAAAACGAAAAATACTGGAACAGAATACAAAATGGTTCGTTTCCCCTTTCTACATGGGAAAAAAAAAAGAAAACCAGGAAGATAGGGGATAGCAGAGAGAGTATGAAGTGATGCACTTGCACTCGACTCCCGTTTATCTCCATGATAAGTTGAATTTTTTTATGTCGGAGACCGAGGAGGGGGATTCATCACAACGGTTAATCCAAATGGACTTTTGGAAACAGGTTAGAAATATCGGTGGGTCAGTTGCCAGTTTTGGCGGTTAGTCGGTTAGCATGGTTAGTCGTTGAGACCCATAATTAGGACCCATGCAGCCAAAGACTTCAAGAACCTCTCTTTTTGAAGAAAAAAAAAGGGCATTCCCGAGGAGGGACGTGGATGATATGGCAAGGAGACATGACCTGGAAGGCAAGATGCCAGAACCTGCTATGAAAGGATGAGTGGATCAGACGCATGCTATCGAGTACGAATCCCAAGTATTAGTTTTCAAAAGTGTCAGCAAAGAATAAATGTTGCTTATCCTTGCTTCACATTGAAGAGCATTATTCAATTCGTATTCTGTAAGGATTGACATGATATAACCAGTGGATCTTCTGAGTGCGCGTCAGAAGGCTTTCACCTTATCATTGATTGCTACTGTCACTCATAAATAAGCTGCTGTAAAAGACAATAGGAGGCAGAAAGAGCGACAGACCAGTGATGCGGATCCCAAGAGAGGCGTTGGCGGCCCGATCGATGTAGACCCACCGCCTGGGTCCCCATGCAGGCAGGAGATGGGGCTTGGCGTCTTCACACTTTGGGACACTTTTCACCATGACTCCTCGCTGGATCCCTGGCTGACCCGTCTGCGTGGTCATCTCTGATGGGGCCTCCTCCTCCGCATGTCCCCTCTCATGTCTGTCGTCCTCCAGCACAAGTGACCGCGACACAACACACTTACACCCCTCATCCAAACCTGAGGGGCTGAAGGGAGGATGAAAACGTTGACTTTGGCATCTTAGTCGCAAAAATTGCCAGGCATGGAGCAGTTCCACCTGGGCTAAACTTGAACCCATTAAACACATGACATGAGAGTATTCAGCCGATGCAGGACTTACGTCCTTCCTTGATTTCGGTGAATCAAGGGGCGACATGATATATGCATTCATCTTTCATCTCATCTAAAGATTTTTTTCACGAAACTCATTTGAAGGATTTGATCAAACAAGTTGCAATTATTGCGCACTATGGACATAAGCTCGAGTGTTGCTTATCAAGGACAACTGAGACTTCTTTTTAAGGAATAAAAAATATTTGAGGTTAAAATAAAATTGATCTCATCTAAGGACGAGAAATTCTTCGGATTCTAAAAGAAAAATGACTAGGAAGAGCAAATGGATGCAGAGATATATGTAGGTTTATTCTCACTATTCTCAAGCAAAAATGACTTTCTCCAGTTGCCACTGCCAGTAATTTCCACTGACTAGTCCCAGAAGAAATGATGACTAGTCGGTCAAGAACTCAGTCTCATGCTTTGTAGTTAACAGAACACAATGCACTGAAAGACAAAATAATTCTAAGACAGCTAGGAACCTCTGTCTACACTTGACTTCCTTTTGCTTTCATACAGTTAAGAGGGTGAAGACCAAGTCGGTATGTCCAGGAACTTTCTTGAAAGGAACACATTCCTGAATAAGAGGATGGAAATAAATAGAACCACACAGGCGATTTTATCCCAGTACCTGGGATAGGTGAAACTGGGAAAAGCACATCTTTGGAAGGACTCTAAAATTGAGCCAACTTTCACCATGCAAACATGTAAAAACACGACCAGAAAAGTCCAGAATGTTATCCAACAAGAAGATAATGCCCAACGAACACCAGTGCATATGTGCATGAATCCAGCACCATTCAATTGACAAAACTTTGGTCCATGGAGATCAAACTGGCTTATAAACACTTCTATGACTTCCAGAATGCCCAAGGAAGGCTCCTATGACTGCAAATTCAGGTCATTGCCTGCATTCATATAAACCTCATTCAGAGGGAAACTAGGAGAAATACCCCATTCACAGGGGATTAAATTTACTCTTTTGTATCACTGGAGACAAATTTTGCATCTTGGGAAGCAAAAACAGAAAACTTAACCACTGTGGAACTTACTTCCTTCTACCTCCACCAGAAGCGGGAAGAAGATTAGCCTGTGATGATGTGATTGAGAAGTCTTGTTCAGACACCTGCAATGGTTTGGCAATCCCAAGCCTTACAATTCCCTTTGGGGCTCCCTTCAATGCCTGAACAGCAGCATCCAATGATGCATTAGACACATCATTTTTGTTAACTGACATAAGACGATCACCTGGGATGATCTGTCCATCCTGTTGTGCCACACCACCAGGAACCAGACTCCTTATAAGAACTACTGTCTTATCTGGATCCAGAGGATTCTGGTAGTCAAGGATGGAAAATCCTAGGCCCCGCTCACCCTTGTGGAGATCCACGTACACAATTGAGTCGCTCCACATGGCCAGACCTGTCAAAGGCTCCATAGAACGTGCTTTCAAGAGTGAGGGAGAGGACTTATCAGGAGGAGGACTGGCAATAGAGCCATCTGATTTGGCTTTGACTAGGAGTTTTGGCTGGGGATGTGAATCTGCCAAAGCTGATGGAAGCATTCGAGCACATACCATTATGACTGGGGAGGATACCTCTTTCAGAATGAACACCACATCTCGGTGGTTCAAGCCAAGCAACTTCTTTCCATTCACTTCCAAAAGCTCGTCCCCGCTCTCAAACACCTCACACCGTCCCACTGGTCCACCAGGGAGAACAGATCGGATGTAGTGATGTGGTCTAACCTCACGGCCATTCTCGACATCTACAGTCCCTTCTAGACTAATTCCAAGGCCACCACTCTCATCATGTTTCAGGATCTCTGAAACCAATACCTCATACTCAGGACCCATCAAAGTTTGCCACTTTGCTTTAATGGCTGAGAGGTCTCGGTCTTTTATGCGAGAGGGCTGTGTGGCAGCAATGGCCATCTGAAGCTGCTCAAATTTTGGTCCACGAAGGAACCGGGCCAGTCTGAGATGAACCATGGAGCCAGTGTGGCGGAGGAGTTCTACAGCCTGGTGGTTACTGTAGCCAGATAGGGAATTTCCATCGACTTCAACAATCTGATCATTGACTTGAATTTTTCCACTTGCAGCAGCAGCACTGCCAGGATTCACACTTTTGACAAAGATCCCCGACAGACCCTCTTTCTCACAGACGTACCCAGCTATTGTGATTCCCAGCCCTTGGGAATCCTTGTTGAGATGCACATCAAACATTTCCACCTCAGGACAAGACTCTACATCTGATGGGTATTCTTCAGCACTAAGTTCTTCTGACTCCCACTCTCTCTCTTTCCTTAGCTTGTTAATCAGGAGGTATTTCTCAAGTTCCTTGGAGTCGGCAAGGATGCGAGACGGGACTATGGGTGTGTGGAAGGAAGCACACTGACTCGCAATCTCAAATGGACGAGCAACAACCAATCGAACATGACTCCCAGCATGTCTCAGGACACTGGCAACTTGCTCTGATGTCAACCCATTGAGGTAAATCTCTCCAATACAAAGGAGATGGTCTCCACTTTGCAGCCGCCCATCCTGATCTGCCACCCCACCTGGTAGGATGGTCTTGATGATTACCCCAGTTGATTCCCCACCAACAATCCCAAAGCCAAGGCCCTGGCCCTTGTTCACCAGGTCAACTACCTCAACCTGAGCATACTCAGATGAAATCAGGGGATATTCGGGTGTCTTGCGATGTGGGGTCGAAGGTCTAGATCGGGTCATGCGAGCCACAACCAAGGACACCTTCCCTTGAGCATTTTGCAAAATTCGGATTGCTTGTTGATGGCTCATCTGTGAGTGCAGAGGCTGACCGTCAACAGCCAGGATCTGGTCACCCTCACGCATGCGTCCATCTTCGGCTGCAATACCATTGGGCTGCACTTCTTGAACGTAGATGCCAAGCTCACCTCGTTGGTCACTTTTAAGCCCAACCAAGGAGAAGCCAAGGTTTGACCCCTCAGGTTTGTAGAGATCAATGTAGAAAACATCCTTACCCGGACTCACATAGTCTGAAACCTGCTCATGGATCTCGTCTCCCATTGGGTATTGGGATGTCTCAACCACATCCTGGCTGGAAACATCACTTTCCTGTTAGACAATGAAGCAGAATGGAAAAGTGAGACATTTGGATATATACTGGTATTGGTATTACAGTGGCTGTAGTCTATTGCTCAAAAAATCAATTCAACTTGAGCACTGAGGTGAGATCAGGGGATAACAGGCAATCCTGGAATCTATTTTTAAAATATGATTATCCAATACTCACAATTGAAGGCTCTATCTAAAAAATACCTGCAGGTTGGTGAAAGTATGAAAACTACGGAGGGGGAACAGATGATTGTTCCAAGTTCCTCAGATATAGATATTTCATCAAGATGGAAATTCTGGCCTCTCATTCTAAGAGAAAAACATTCTGAGGGACCTTGGCTATGAGACAAGGTTGAAACGGTCTAGAATTTTTGCAGGTATCAAGTGCATATAAGAGTGACTGGCATAATTCTTTATGAAATAGGACAGTATGAATATGAAAAACTGACATTTCTTTCCTTGACACCACTGAAATGGTAAGAGCAGTATGTTTGGCTTCATTAAACAAGATAGGAATGGATGAGGTAGGGGTAATAAAGCTAAAGCAGAAATATTTTTTTCTAAAGCTACATATCTCCCATAGTCAGTAATCCATAAACAGACTGACTAATGGTATGCATCTCTGGCATTACACAAGATGAATTGACACGCCATGCCAATGCATTACTATAATAACATGAAATTTCTTCCCTAATTCCTTATTGAAGTTGATAGGAGAAATGGGCCTGAGAAGAAACGTCATTACCAGACAAATCAGTCACACAAGTATGACTATATGAAGCAAAAAGAATGATGATGAAGTAATACTGAATCAATGATTCAGGATGTTACATGTTAATGAAGGAGAATTCATACTTCATACAGGAATTTCCCATAAGGCAGGTCTTTGCATGACCTTTACCAAATGAAAGGATGAATGCAATGAAAACATGGCACTAGTGTAATTAGACATTCAGCAACTGAAAACACAAATTTTTTAGCATGATTGACTCATTTACTCAAAATTGTCCTCCAGCACCGGCACAAGATGTCAAGAATTGGGACTGCTAAAAAAAATTTGACTTCTGGAAAGCTTTAGTGGAAACTTATGGATTATTTTTCGATGCAGCCTAAAATCAGGTACTTCCCAATATGGCTTCCTATTGGTACGGGGTATCCAAAGGGATATGGCTTCCCATGTTTTTGAATAACTTTTCCACAACACTGTATCCATTGTTTCCTGTGGTCCAGTAGCAGTGAAAATTTCCTTCCTTGAAAAATAGTAGTGCCATGTCTATTGGAAAAATAAGAAACAAGCAATTACACATATTCGATCCAGTTAATCATTATTTTTTCAACTCTTCATTCCATAGAAAAGTACCAACCAAGAAATATTCTGTTAGCCAAATTTACACAAAGTAAACAGTAGTAATGACACAATGCTGACCTGATCAGAGGAGGAGTATTCCTTATTGACAAGGCCAACTGAGAGGTGGTCAGAGATGTCTGGCTCCTCAGGAAGGCGTAGTGTAAGGGACCCATCCTTGGAGATGTGGAAGTCCTCTGGGAGGAGTGAAGGGTGGGTGAGGATCTGCTCTGACAGCTCTGTCAGGGAATCCTCGATCTTGAGGAGATCAGTGAACACAGGACACTGGAGGATGGAGTAGAGGATGCCCAAGTCCTTGGTCATCTGGCCAGACACCTTGGGGTCCTTCACGTCCCCATCCACGATGGCTTGGATGCGGTGCAGGACCCCAACAGCTGACCGAGCTTCCTCTGTCAGTGGCATTGTCCACTCCCACTCCCTGTCACCCTCTTTGTTTTTTTCTTGTTATTAAAAAATTGACACTCCTACATGATAAAAACTCTGGTTAGGGAACCACAGCAAAGCTCATCATGGGCCAGTAGGTTTCATCTTGCTTTTGATCCCTTTAGCTTAACTAGGTATAGCATTATTTGGAAATCTGCTAGCCAGTGCGGATAGCTCCTCAAGAGTAACTTTTATGAGAAAAATCTGAAAATTTACGGAAAAATAATTCAGGCTCAAAGAACTGCAAAAAAATGAGACTCCATTTTTTCCTTGTGATATCAATTCGGTCTGTTATTTTGCTTATGATGGAATGGACCTTGGAGTAATAATGAGTAAGCTCCTTCCATGGGGAATCATTAATGCAAAAAGAAGCATTCACAATCAAATTAACTTAATAATTAACATGTATATATGTAAACCATAACCAAATCATTAACATTACATAGGAATGATTTCAGTCAGGGGCAGAAAGTGCAGACAAAACTCACTGGAAGGCCAAGCTTTAGAGAGGGAGAATGAAACTAAGCAGAGAAGCCCTGCAAGTGAAGAGGGGAGGAGGAAGGGCCATTGTCGTGTGGGATGTCCCTGGCCATCCAATCAATACACATTACAACTTCCCTTCCTAGGTCTATACCATCAGAGAATGTGGAGACTCATAAATCCTCTTTAGAAGCTATTTTGCCGTCTTATATTTCTTTTCCCCTCTTTCTCTCTTGCAATTGTCATCATACAGCCTTTCCTATTTCCAAAAGCAAGCTTAACAGAGCCCCTGCCTCATTCCATGATATATCATTGAACCTGACTGGTTCATTATCACTATCACACAACCCTTTCCCATGGTGAGGATAGATGCTTTCATCTTGGGATTCCTCCTCACTACTTAGTATGACAAGCTTCCTGTTCAGTAAGTCTTCTCCTTTTGGAAGGGTGACCCCCTATGCTAACCAATGCAAGTCAGCAACATCTATTATTAAGTAGGCATGTAGATAGATATGGGTAACACATGTTAAATCACTAAGGAATCTAAACCTAAACTTCAAGATGCAACTGAATCATTCTTGAATATAAACTATCCATGAATCAAAAGAAGAATAAATGAAATTTACGAGCCTTATTTACTTCTATCAATGAAAATTGACATTTATAAGAGAGCATTCTCCCATTTCCTTTTGTATTAAATCCCAGAAATAGTCCAGCTACATTTCTTAAATTTGTTACTAAATGCTATATTTTCACCGCTAGTTAACAAATACCTCACCCAATTAAATTAAATGAATTACTCACTAGGTCCAAAATGCAGAGAGCAACCCATCCCATGTGGAACAGATTTCCAATCACCTGCAAATGAGGTTCATTTTCACCTGCAATATTGAGAATAAAGACATGATCATGAGCCCAATGCAGTGCTGTCCACAGCACAACCCTGCTCATTTAGATGAGCAAGATTGGGTGCAATACATGATTCCCACATATCCTGGCCACATGAATCCATCTCCATAGGAATAATAGTATTTATTTGCCTCTTAGCCCAAGTGAAATGTGCTTCGGCCTCCCAGATGAATGTCGCGCTCGAGGAGAGAAGATAACACTACTTGGAGAGTGACAAAAATGCAGCAAAAAATAAATTGGACTTGGCTGAGCCACCCTACCCCAGTTGCATAATCAAATAAAGCTCAAATAAAGAAAGAAAGATACATAGTGAGAAAGTGACAATACATGTTGGAGTGGAATCTGTCTGCCCTTGACAACAGGAGTTAAATACATAATGAAGATGAGGAAATCAAAAGTTATGGCTTCATAGATGTCGGAAAATGTCATCAAATTCTTAAATTCAAATTCAAACCTTCACTGTCAACACACCAAGAAGCAACCTATTAATTTCTCAATGCTGCACTGATACAATTATGACCTAGGGCATTTCAAAGATGCAGGTCCTCTTTGTAGAAGTGGGAAAGGTGAAAGTGATGCAAGGATGCAGCTATCACATCGACAGGTTCAAACTGAACGTTATGAGGAGACGACATGACACACACCAAATGATGAAAAGAGAGCAGAGAGAAACATTTTTATAATGATGCACATCTGTGGGTGTTTCGGAAAGATGCAGGGAAATTTCTTCTTTCTTGGCTAATGGAGAGAGCGATTCAAGTTAGAGAGACAGACTCTTAGCTTTGCTGCGGCTGGCCATTGGATCCCGAATTGAGTAACCTTTCTACAGCTGCATTCACATCCCCAAATGTGGCATTCAAGGCTGTCAGGGATAGATAAAAATGAATTGCAAAACAGTATTGCAGAATTCAGCAACAATTGCAAGATCTTAACTTTGAATAGCTGCATGATTGAACTCCTTGCAAAATTGCAAAACAGAATGGATTGTGAAGGTATTCTGACTGCAGTGATCAGCCATCACCAACAAATGCAGCCATGCAAAGCCCAGACCATTACTTAAAAACTACGGAAATCTGTTGAGTGACACAGGCTTAAACTGTCTCAAAGTCTGCTGAGCCCACAGATCAGAATCCATGATCTCTGCTGACAGATAAGCTCAATAGTTGTTTGGGAGTACCAATAACCCACAATGATGACAGGGTGAGAAAGAAAACAAAGCCAGGATTCAAGGGGCTCAAGTCCTAGTGGTCTCGTGGTCATGAGCTAATGGTGTCTACTCCTAATCCCAAGGTTGATGAGAGGTGACAGAATAAAAAAAACAATTGAAGATTACACAGAATACAGAAGCTGTAACTGCAGACAGACAAAAGTATGATTCCACAGTCTCACCTTGAATGTTTGCTTCCCGGTTCACAAAACCCATGGCTGCCAGCTGCTCAAGCTGAGCACGATACCTCTGCTCGGGGGGCTGGGATTGGTTCCCAAGACCCTGTTGCAGGGCCAGTGTGGATATCATCTGAGCCATGTATTGCGTGAAAGCATCATTTGACGAGGGGGAAGTTGCAGGTGCAGTAGAGGTGGTGGACGTCGTCGTGCTCGTAGTTGGGGCGGTGGTCGTCGTGGCACTTGTTGTTCCGGGCATTCTTGGCAAACTTGGACCCAGTCTACAAAATAAGTATTAAAAAAAAAGTACTTCAGAATAATAATGAAAACTTCTTCAGAATGAAAAAGCCAGCCACTTCCAATGCAAGTCACTTAATACAAGTGCTGTCTGTCTCCAAGGAGTTAACAATGGAGCACAAGCTGCACCCAGAGAAGCATGTGAAAAAGTTACAGCATCATATCAATCAGACTCAGATGGAGGACTCATGAAAATTCACCCACTACTTTTATGTCAGTACTGGTGATGGAATAACTTTCAAATTCTCTTTGAAGTCAAGCCTTGCACTCCCTGCATATAACTAGTGTGTGACAGGTTGCACTCACGATCCCAAAAGGCCAGGGGCATGTTGCCTCAGCTGGTCCATGCCCTGTTGAATTTGCAGGATGGCCTGGAGGGCCTGAGGATTTGACATCATGCTTGTGACCTCAGGGTTCATCATCTGGTTCATGAGCTGGGGCATCATGGTGCGCATCTGCTCCTGAAGCTCTGGGTTCCCAGAGAACATCGGGTTGGAGGATATGATCCGAGATGCCAGGTCAGGGTTAGCAGCCAGTTCCTGCATGGAACCAAGCAATGCACATAGAGCAAGAACAACTAGTAAAAAGGAATTTCACATAGTGGTGAAGAGAATATCTCATGGTAGAACTGAAATTCAAAAAGGGATTTCTTTCCTCATAATTTATCCTTGTTCCCATCATCATGTCCTCAATGAAGCACAAGACAAGAAAGATTTTGCCCTTTTCTTTACACAATTTTTTAAAATTCTTTTTCACTTCAACTCCTTATACAGTTCTTTGCCAAGTAGTCCTAAATCCAGAATGTAAAAACCCTGGAGATACCTGGAACATGTGCTGGGTATAAGGAGCAGAGAGCATGTTCTGCATGAGCTGAGGATTCTCTGCCATCTGTTGCATGAGGCTCTGCATCCCAGGAGTATTAAACATACCCCCAAGACCCGGTGGACTCCGAGAGCTAGATCCTCCTCCCCCCGAGCTTGGATTGCTGGGTGGTGCCCATGGGTTGGGAAGGGGTTCTCGATTCTCTGTTCCAGAGTTGGGGCCCTCCTGGGAACCTGTGCAAGATATTGATTTTGCTTAGAAATGCCACCAACCATCAGATACTTGATTGCTCCAAATCAAAGATGCTCAAAAAATGTACTAGAACAGTCAATGGGTGGAACATGAAATGTAGTTTCCTTTATATGAATAACCATGGCAGGGAATTACAGTTAGTTGCAAATGAATTCAAACTACCTTCAGCATGTGCTCCATAGGTCTAATGCCATTTTTAACATGGGAAATATACCTTCATCATCTTGGATGCACCAAAGAAATAAAATTCCATTATCAGAAAGGTGACATTAATTAAATTCATTGTAGGTTCAAAATGGGATTTAGCTAAGGCTCTAAGTGTGAGCTTCACAAATCCAACCACCCCCATTTGCAAACCACTTAGGAGACTAAGAATTACGAGCATAAGCTCAAAGACGCAGGCTGAAGCACACAAATCAACGTTGAAGAAAAACACACTTGTGTGCTCCTAACTTAAAATGAAAGGATAAAAAAAATTCATATAGGACATGAAAGTACATTCAATTACTGTGCCATGTTGAGAATGCTGGAGCACTTTGCTCAAGTAGCAGCTGCCACCTCTGGAGTTGACAAATTGAAAACATTCAGTTGTGATTGTCCCCTTTTCATCCATCCAATTACTCAGCACTTAAAAGGAACCAACAGTTACTTATTTCGTTCACTGGATGTTGCCAATTTACACATGTTTCCCACACCCATGCAAAGCAAAGCAGTTTCTACATAAAGAGAGGTGATGATAGACACAGCTAGGAATTTGCCAGGCAATAACCTCATACCCTTTCCACTGACTCAAAATGCTTAAAAAAGAAAAAAAAAAAAGAAGTAAATACTGTAAATTTGATTTTAAATTATCTGTAAAATTTTATGATTTTAAGATGGAAATAATTATTTTTATTACCCTCTTATCTATTTTTGATACAGTGAGTCCATGAACGTGTTAGACTCCAAAATTGAGTGGGAAAAAATGATACTGCAGACATTGTTTCCATTCATCTAGAAGTGGTCTTTTACTTTATTCTGTGCTCATGTCTCAACATTTGCCACCCACAGTAAAATGCAAACCATGCCAAAATAGGGCTATCATGTTGAGGCATAATGCAATGAAAAAAATCTTCTATATTTACAATTTGTGTCTCATGAATGACCAAATAGGAAGATACAACTCCAAGACCAGGTGTAGAGCAAAACTAAGTATTTACTATTCTGTGCACTGTATCCAAGAGGAACTCTGAAGCTAAGAAGCAAATGTAGGCCAATAAGGATAAAGAAAAAATATAATGGTAAAGACTGCCCCCAATCCTACATTGTCTCTCCTAAATGGATTGGCTTATTGCCAAAATAGCTCTTCTCTCTTCTTCCCATTTTTTCCCCTTTTCTCTTGTTTCATCTCTTGTGAGTTCCCTCATCTCTTTGGAAGTGAAAAAACTTAACTCCTATATAATACAGTGATTATTGATATAACAATGTATGACAATCCTTTAAAAAACCTGAGCCCACTCTGCACCAAATATTTTGTGAAATTAATAGCACCATATGGTCTACGTGCACTGCAGGGTAACAGTCCAATAATTCTCAACACTCACTGGTCTCTGCAGGGGAGGAGCCACTGTTGCCAACAAGAGATGCAAAGGGATTCCTACCAAACTGCTCCTGGGCTGCATTTAGCATCGGCTCCTGGATATCTGTGTACATTCGCCTCAAGGCATTATAACCTCCTGTTTCCATGTAAGAAATTCAAAATCAATCTCAAGCCACTCAATTACAGTAAATAGACATAAAACAAAGTTCAGCACCTGGAATGGATTCTAGGTTAGACATGGCACGATCCTGAGAGCGCATGAGCTCCTGCAGCATTGCTGGATTTCGAGCTAGTTGCATCGTCTGCCGCAGGAGTTCTGGATTGTTCAGCATGTGTGTTATCTCTGGATTTCTCTGAATTCAAGAGTTCAGAATCATATATTAGGCATGGTAAAAGTAAAGAGACTCCACATTTCAGCCCACAGCCCACCTCCATGAGTTCCTGCATCTGAGGGTTGGACGTGATGATCTGACGTAGGTATTCAGGGTTGTTCATCAGGCTCTGGACAAGGGGATTGTCCATGACCTGCTGTAGCATTTCAGGGTTCGAGAGAATGTCTCGTTGCATCCGTTGCTGCATCTCCATGAAATTACCTGTTCCATGCCCAAGGTTCTCCAAGCCCCCGAGTCCCATGTTTCCAAGAATGCCAAGACCAAATGGGAGTGGTCCTACATGGTAATAAGAACATCTGTCATATTATGGAACCTTGGATAGAGGCTACACACCATTTGTCTTCCAGTTCCAAATCATTAATCATTTTAAAAAATCAATATTTTCAAACACAGGACAGTGAGGATATACTTTGTAGTTGTTTTCTTCTTGTAATTTCTCCTCCATTTTATTACAATTGCCAGGCTTCAAGTAAGAAAAAGTCTATTAGTCAAGAGGAAGACAATTTAAACTAACTACCACATATATTAACACAACTTATTACATGTTTCCTTAGCATGCTTCACAGAATATTCAACAGGTTCAAGTACAGGAAATTTAACAATAGTAATAGCCAATGTTCTCACAGCAATCTTCACTCCTGAATGGCATTTCATTCTCTAACATGTGGATCATTTTGTCACAATAGAATATCCAAAAGTGACATTTTCATTTCAGTACTTGATGCATTGTAGCATTATTTACAGTAAAATATGCCACCAACACCAAGAACATGGGAAGATTTGACCAAGGCTTATGGGTATTTCTATAAAAATAGACATGGCTCTCATGAAGATGCAAAACCTTCAGAAGTCCCACATTCCAACAGGAGATAGTTGAAAAAGTTCCCAGGCTGACTTACCAACACAGAAACTGAAATAATGCATTAAATGAAATTCAAAAACTAATCTCAACAAGCAGGCCTTAGAGACATGAAAATGTAACCAATCACTTAAGACCAACATTCCCCCCAGGAAACCACACCCTGTGGATACACTTAACTCACTGATAAACTAATAATAATCACAGGAGAAACCTAGTCTTAAATTCCTTCTTTCAGCTCTAAGAACAAGAAAATTAAAAGCTAGACCTGGGCTGTGGGGGGGGGAGGTTGGGTTGAATGTTTTCTGGAGGAAATTATTCTGCATCAAATTATGGCAGTTCCCAAGAGAGAGATATTTTTTTTTTAAGGCTTACTCAAGCTCCTTCACCAAATACTTACAGTGCGCTCTGCTTTGACCTTGAGTCCCCATCAGTGTGCTCAATTGACCTCAACTAAAAATAGCATGAAAATAAATATGACATACACCCAAAGCACATGTGCACATTTTTATCACTGCTGCAGCATCCCATCTCAACAAAAAATTCCCTTAGCTCTAAGAGGAACTAATGCTAGAGGTAAAAATCTGGGAACTCTTAGAGTCCCTCGTGCATATCCTTATATTCATACAACCCCTCTGTCATCATTAAGTCACTTCAACTGACCAAAAAGTTGGAATAAACATGAAAGGGTCAATTTTTGTTTATTCACCTCTTTCTGGGTACTTCATATCAGACTTGGTGAATAAAATGAATTAGACATTGCAGTATCCAATCCAGTAGGCAAGAGTTCCAAAGTGTCTGGACAGAAAATAATGCATATGCTATACCCCCATAGTTTACATATTCCAAAGAAGTCTGGAATGAAAATTAAATTTCTTCATAAAACACCAGAAAAAATTATACATTTTCTATCATGGATAATGCCAGAAGCTTCTTCATGTTCTGTTATTCAAGGAAATATCTCCAGTAGGTAGAGCCACCATTCTAATAAACATAAAGGAAACCTAAAAAATGAAACAGAATCCATCCTTCAACAAATTAGGGCCACAATTTACATAGTCTCTACTTACCATAAAATGATTAAATGATCAAAAGTTTAAAACTGAGCTATAATGGCAGTGGGTAAGTCCACCAATAATATGGAATTTGGGATAAATAGAACAAGAATATACCCATGAATCAAATATGGTTCAAAGATAACTTTTCTACAGTTCTGACTTCAGTTGAAAAACACTTTACCTGCAAGGAAGTTTAAAAAAATATAAGTCAGTTATTTAAAATTCAACAAAAAGTTATATACTTTGAAATACTACATGAAGTTACATTTTATCCAAGATATCAATATTTATGCGAAATACTTTCAATCTAAGTGCATGTATATATCAACATACTAATTATCACTGATCCAAATACTTACATGTCCCAATAATTAGTCCCTTTCCAAAATTGAGATATAACAGCACTTCTCGTACCAACCAGTCTGAAATATTGGTAAATCTATGTCTATCCCTATCTATAACCCACAATCAACTTTCATTGTCATAAAAACTTGGCAAGTATAGAAGTTCTTAAACCCAATCAGCCTTTCATATGAAGGGAAAATCTAACACTCTCTCATGGAGCCCAATATAGCAAAACGGCACAATCTCTGGCTAGGCTTTTCACAATGACATCATGAAGAGCGCTAAGGATTAGCCAAGAAATTGCTACACTGCAAGCTCCTCAATGCACATCTGCTAGAGGCTAAAATGCCATCTTTTACCAATGATAATCTGTAATGAATTCACCTCCCTTAAAAGTATTTCCAAATCCAAATACATGAGTTCACACCAGAACCCACTCACACTCCACTAAAAGCTCCTTGAAGAATTGGATAATTTTATACCTAACTAAATAAAGGCAAGGATTTCAAGCTTGATTACTTTCTGATACTTGAACTGTCTCTTGACTTAAGAGAGTCTTCTGAAAGAGTAAGAAGTAAACCTTACGTAAAGACATCAAGACTCATTTTCACCAAGTTCAGAACAAACTCGATTAAGGGCTAGGCCTACCTTACCTAACCTTCATGTGTCCAGACAAAGGGACTCCATGTCCAGGTCTAACGTTACATATAGGTTGCGAACTCAATTACATACTACGAAAAGCATTTGACACCATTGGGCAGATGGGAATAGGGCTGAAGTTAAATTTTCCGCTCAACCCGGCAGGCCTACCTTGGCTTTGCTGGGACTGGCTCGGGGCTTCAGAGGATGATGCAGGCTGATTAGACCGGGTCTGAGTCCCTGACTTGATGACCAGGTGGATAGCCAGCCCATCCTTTATTCCGTAGGAAGACAATGTGTCCTGATCTTTCAATATCTTCCCGGCGAAGATGAGACACAACTGTTCCTTCTTCGCCCCGAACTTCTTCGCGACTTCATCTTTGAACTAAACGTACAGGAGACAGCGGCATTTCAATGACACATTCGATTCGTGCATCAGCCACTAACGGATGAACAGACGAGGGACCTACTTGGTCGATGGAAGCGTTTTCGGCGATCTCCACGACGTGCTTTTCCTTGTGTGTTTTCACAGTCACGGAGATTTTCTCGACATCTTCGCATTTCGAATCCGTGCTGCTCTCGGCCATATTGGAAATGTTAGAGGTCTAGATTTTCTTCTCCCTCCAGTGATACGGGATCCTCTTCCCATAAAACCATATTTAATTCCGAATTCCTACATTTTAAAAAAATACCTATTTGAAGTGTCAAATAATTCAAATTCACACTGTCAAGTAATTCATTCATAAAGTAAAAACCCTGATATAATGAATGGAATCCATGGTATGCTGAGGCTAATTCCCTCCATCATCGCACAACACTGTAATGACTGTACCGAATGACGTAACGTAGTTAGAAGCATGTCAGCTTCCTGGGCACGTGATGTGTTGATTTAACTTTATTTCTGACAGCAACGTTGAGTTCCAAGATTCCATGGTGAAACGTTTCCACGTCGACAATGAAGTTGAGCTAGGTCATTCTGTTAATATGGGTCTTACGTCACCCGAGAGTACGACCTGAGGCCTCATCTCATCAGAGAAAGCTTTTGTGACTCTTTATCTTGGGTGAGACCGCGGATCACGTGGAGGTCTTTCTGTGGCGATGACGTCAGGGTCATACGTCGCAGGGACTAGTCTGCTTCTCCTCTGCCTGGCTGATGCGGAGGACTCGCGTTCCTCAGCCGGAGTAGTTGGATATATTGATCTCTGAAGTCAAAATATGCTAATGTTCAAGTATGATGCATACCAAAGCTCCATCGTACTTACAAAAAAGGGCGAGATAAATATCTGTATACGGGCGATCATGAAAGACAGCATTGCAGTCCTTGGAGCCACAGAATCCTTTTAAATCTAAGACTCAAACTGATGAGCAACTTGCAGCTTGGAAAAAGGAAACAGATTTTATTGGCAGCAAAGTCTTAAGTCTTAAATCTGCTTAAAGCCTTCATAGAAATGCATATCAGATTCATAAGGCTCGTGAGGGAGGTTGGAGGAATATTTAGACGAAGCTATTCAACTATCCATTACTATGTCTTTTAGCAACTCTATTAAATGAAGTTTTTCATTTGTGTTCAGTGTCCTGTTGCAGTTTGCAGTTCTATCTACCTGAATATTCCCAGTAGCTCAGTACTGTCTCCTCCAGTCATAGGAAGTGGTTGCATGCGAGTAGGACAATTTGTCCTTGAAGGTGATATGGAATTGCAAATAATGAAGACATGATGAAATGTCTCAGTCTCAGTGTATTTTTCAGAAGCATTCTCCTTTGAATTAATGCTATAATGTGTTCAGTAATTGAAAGGAAAGCAGATCTATCTTTACAAAAAAAAAGAAATGCTAAGCTTCTAAAGGAAAAAGGGAAGTTCATAGTGACCATTCTCTAGAAGTTACGGAATAGTATATGTAGCTATATCAGTTTTCCACTCATGTATCCCAGAAACTATTATCTTCAAGAAAGAAACTGGGATCGACCAAATGAAGACCAATTTTTCTTTTCTCTGACTTATTTTTGCTGAGATACCATTATTCCTTTCAGCCTTTCAGTTACTGCAGGATGTATTCTCAAAGGAAAAATTTTGCCAATTTGATGCTTTATGGTTCTTACATATACAGGGTGCGTCAGCTATTTGAGAACAAAATTTGACTTCGAGGAAAACAAAAATATTCAGTAGAAAAACCAATATATGTTCATAGAATTTGGTCCACATGTTCTTACATACACATAACAAAAGGCTATTCAATAAAACCACCTTCAACCTCGATTACGGCCTCGATACGGCTTCTGAAACAACTACATGCGTTGATCAGGTGATCCTTATTTATTTTTGCCAAAATGTCCCCGATGGCAGCTTTCAACGAGTCCATGGTATTATGGGCATGCTTGTTGGTCTCCCTCTCAACGACGCCCCAGACATAGTAGTCCAGGGGGTTCAAATCAGGAGAGCTAGGAGGCCGAATGTTAGGGGTAACATGATCGTGAAAATTCTTGGCAAGCCACTCCTGGGTCGCGCTGGCTGTGTGAGAGGGAGCAGAGTCTTGCTGGATACATGTACGGCCTTTCCTGAGCCACTCCCTCGGAACACAATTCGGAAGGAACACAATTCAGTTAGTATGTATATGCATAGAAGCCACCTTAGGTGCTTCCATTGCCTTAAATTTGTTTACTAATTTCTACCTATTTCTCTATTGACACGATCTGTGATTCATCTTATTTACTTCCTACCTGTGGGTTCCAAAAGTAGGGGGAGCCCTGATATATTGGGTACCTCTATGACATTGGGTGTGCTGGAGCCTGCTCCATGGCCACAGTGAAAAAAGTGACCAGGAGTGGACTGCATCCCAGCTGCCGCATCAAGTGTCCCCATGCCAAGCAGAAAGAAGATGAAGGAAGTCTCATCAAATCCGATGTCTTCTGGTGTAGCTCCGACTGCCACACGGAACTGCGCTGCAAATGCCCGTCGGCGTGCAAGAAACCTTTGTGCGAATATCATTACGAGTCGCGGAACACTGTGGATTTTGTGCATTCCCGAGAGCTAGGATTGGACCGCATCGAGAGGAGGCACTGGGATGAGGAGTATCCCACTCGGTACCTGTTGGTGCACGAACTCTTGCGAGAGAAAAAGATCGCAGTGGGGAACCTGGACAAGATCTTCTCTTGTGCCTGGCTGGACCATCATAAGATTGCATTTGGCACCAAATGCAGCAAGGTTTGTTGACTGCTTTCTGGCTTATTGAAATCCAAGTTGCCTCAGCTATGTTTTGTTAAATCCCAGATGACCCTTTCCAATTCCAGCTGATGGTGTATGATACCCGCCAGAATGATCTGACCAGCATCCCACTTCTCGCATCGATGCAGCAACATCAGGCCCGATCTGTACAGCGTGGTCTTCATTCCATCAGATTGAACCCATGTGGTGATAAGTTGGCCACCACTGGCTACTCCTCAAATGATGTTGCCATCTACAGCCTCCCTGACTTTGAGCCTTTGTGGCTTGGAGAGGTATGGTCATTAATGTGTGACAGTTCTGAATGACTTCTTGACTGCAGATTGCATGAAAATGATGGCAAATTACTCTGAGATCTTGCTTCCTAATTCATGGAGAGATGAAACCTAATTGATATACTAGTCCAACCACCAGTTCTGACTTGGAGTTCTGTATCTCTGATTCAGTGCACTTGAAAGGTAATTTTTGGAGGGATGCCTGAGAGCATATCAGGACTGTCAACTTAAACAATTATGATAAGTCTTATTCCAAAGGAATGATTTATTTATTGAATTAGTTGTTTTAATTTTTTAAATAAGTTGTTACATTTATCTTATGAACTATTTTACCTTTTCTATAAATTGCATACTGTTTGCTGAGCTTCAACAGAATTTTGCAGACGCTTTGAGAAGTCCTGTAAGTTTGAAGATCTGGACTGAAGCTTTGCTCTCCTTTGATCAGCAATTCATTTTCATCTTTTTTTTTTTCATCAGCCCTCAGTGAACAAAAATTTATCTCTAGTTCCTAGCCCTAAAAAATGCTTTGCTGTTTAATTGCCAGCACAGGTAAAAAATTTCACACATTGTGGAAATTGGATTTCCACAGGTTGTGGAAATCTTCCATCACTTGATGCCAATCTGTTACCAAGTGGCATTGGTTGCAATGGCTTTAAAGCATGCTTTCTTCAGATACTATACTTTCTTCAGAGTGTTCAGCAATAGAGTGTGGCACTGAAAATGGAATCAGGTACTGTTAAGAAACAGTTTGATACAACTGATATTCTTAGCATAGTCCATAAATACATTTATTTAACTGATATTCTTAGCATAGTCCATAAATACATTTATTTTCGAAACCATTCGTCTAAATTCAGTGAGGTCCCAGTTCGGCTCAGGAGCATCCTCCAGTGTTCGCGTTCCTGGGCAACGGACTCGAGTTCAGCAGGTGGTATGCCCAGCCTCTCGTGTCGAAGGTTCGCGATGTAGTGCGACCACCTTGCACGTGGGCTGCCGACTGGTCTTCTGCCGGTCATTTTAGATTGGAAGACTGCCTTTTGGGAGTCTCTCGGGAGGCACGCTGGAGACGTGTCCAAACCAACGGGCTTGGGGTCCCTCGATCCGAAGAAGTAGCCGCTCGCCCCCGAGGTTCTCGCGAATCGCGGCGCTCCGCATCCTCACGCGACGCGTTACGCCCCAACGGCCGTGTGAACCTCCTTTCGGCAGCTTGTATCTGCGACCTGATTCCTTCGGTCGTTACCTTCAGTTCGTGACCATAGGTCAGGGTGGGGAGGTATACCCTCTTAAAAAGTGAGAGTTTCGTCTTCTTGGAAACGTCAGATTTGACAACCAGTCTTCCAGAGTTCCCGCAAAACTCTAGAAGCCCTAGAGATACTGCTGTCGATCTCGTTTCTGTGTTATCCGTCACTCGAGAACCAGACCCAAAGTTACTTCTCTCCAACTACCTTCTCCACCTGTTCCAGTGGGTCCCTTTAATTGGAGGCCATAGTAGAGTTTCAGGGACGCCGAAGGCCCTTTTAGAATTCTGTTATCGTAGACAAGGAGGATGAAACGTTTGGCGGTCTCCTGGTCAGCTTCTGGAGTCATCTGTCTGGGATCGGTCCATTATGGCATGACAGGTGATTAATAACGTATCTCTTGCTCCCGGCCCAACCTACCCCTTTGGAGTCTCCCTTGCTTGGGGAAAGGTTTTTTTTACGACTTTTCCTGGTTCCTGCGGCACACCGCCCCGTAGACTATAAAAAAAAAATTATGGCCATTTTTATCGCAGTTTTCAAGGGATCGATGCGTCGACCGGAACCAGCGATAGTGAATCGATGCATCTGGCCTCCCCCCAAAATTAACATCCTGGGCGACGGTCAGGCGTCCCGTCCCGGTTAATGACATGAGAAAATGAGCCTTTCTCCCTTTCGGGTGCCATGGGAATAAATTCACTTATTCTCACTTACCATTATAACTGAAAGAAAACTAAGTTCGTGTACACTCCCAGGGAGCAAAGAACAGCGCAGCTTCTTTGAAATATCTCCCGTCCACGTTCACTGGGCACAGACGCATTTCCCATCCATCAACTTACAAATTTCCTCGCTTTTCTCATGAGATTTCGGATATCTTCATTCAATATCTTTAAAAAATTCGAAACGGTTTATTTTTCCTTTCCTGCTGGTATCTGCCCCATACAAACTTCGTCGATCGTCGTTTGCTCGTTCGCTTCTGAGGCCTCCACAGGGCCGAGCAGTTTCACGAGCCCTTCCGATCACCGATTTAAGATAAGATGGCTTAGATATCCGGTATCTAAGCCATCTTAGGTTAGACCGTCGAGTTCTTCCCCCCCAAATCGCGGAGCGATGGAGTGAAATGTGTGCCGGGGAGGGTAATCGATCGGACCGAAGGGACGTGCTCGGGGTGTATCTTAGGGTAAATCTCTCGCATGCCAGAAATCACATCACGAGTGATGACAGGGCAGGGGTGTCGAAAGTGCGGCCGTATCTGTCACATCGCACGATTTGTATATTTTTTTTACTGTCCTTTTTAGTAGCTTAATTACTTTTAGTGTGGTCGCTACTCTGAAGCTACGGACACCCTGTTCTAGTTGAAACTTTATGAGATTTTTGAAGGCCAGCCGCTTGAAATAATTAGCTATCAGTTTGTCGCCCTCATTCCTCGTCAGGTATACATACTTCCTGTATACCAACTTATTAGATTGATTTCATGGTGGCTGAGCTTTTTTTTCTGAAATCAAGTGCAAGCGATATGCGAGAAGTCAAATACGCAAACTTCAACCTGCATGCTAAATGGACTCGATATGAAAGGCTGGAGTATAGAGAGAGGGGTAAACAGTTTACATTGGGATGAAAAGAACAATCCAGGTTCGTAGGATGGACCACATGACATCGAGTTGAAGACTGAAACAGAATAGAGGGGGGGGGGGGAAATATTCCCAATCTTTACTTTCTCGCCTCTCTCACTTCCTGTTCAACAAGTTTCCTTTTTTTCCCCCCTTGTTTTCATATAGATAGTTCCAGCATTTCCAGGATTTTATGTCGAAGGGAAATACCAAACCCACAGGGGCCGTGTTACCTCTTCCTCTCCTGGCCCGCTGTACAGTAGGGTATTGTATCTGACTTGACATTTCCCCGTTCAATAGTGTTACCAATGCCTCGCGTTGGCAGAAAAATATCTATCGATACCTCCAACCATTTTTGAAGGTATCGGTGCATCGACCCATCGTGATCTTATTAAAGACAGCGATAGAGTATTTATCAGCCAATTCCAGGAAGAAGTTTCTCCGAAGGGGACTTTTTACTGAATAACAACTCAGGATGCCCGATACCGATACTTTGTATCAGTATCGGCCGATATCAAGCGGATTAGCCAGTATGCGTACACTTTTGGAAAGATCTCATGTAAAAGAACCACTCTTAATATCATACAGTGCGTCAAGTCCCTCATAGTTCTTGCGCTAATCTCCAGCTGATCGACAATGAGCTTGCGCATAGTCAAAGCTGAATGTGAGAGATTTCATTCACCTACCCAATCCTTCCCCCTCCCGTCCCGTCACCTGCCCTCCGGCGCTGACTGGTTCGCCCAGGCGCACGTAGTGCCCACGCCCATCCGGTTTCCAGCTCTCCCCTTGCGAGCAGCGATCCCGGTCATGGTTGCTTGAACTCCTTTGCTCCTTGAGGACATTGGGCGTAGTACCTACGTCCACCGAATTATTGTGCGGGCTTGGGTGGATGGCAGGGGAAGTTTTCGGCTTGCACTCGAGAAGGTTATATATTGGCCCACGTAAATGTCTCCAGTGTCGAATAAGTTGCAGGAATTTTGATTGCTGAGTCAGAGCGTCCGAGGACTTATTATTACTAAGGCAGCGATGTAATTCTGGCTCAGTATCGTGGTTTCACTTCTGACAGCTACTGGGAGGTAACGGTATCGGCCTTAAGGATACCTTAAGTAGTAAGTAGGTTACCTTTTCAGCCCTGGTATGAGCTGGGACCTTCCAAATTGCACAAGCACCTCTTAATTAATATGGATGAAGAAATCAAACGAAACAGGGTAAACTTTTTTTGGCACACCCTGCATGGTCGCGCCGCACATTGAAACCCAAAATTGAGTATTGAGCCCTCTCAATAAAATGTCATATCTACGCGACTATATATGTACGCAACATGTTGGATTCTGTCAATCCAACATGTACCGGAAACGACCACAGCTTCCCCCGAAGTACACGGTCTTGTGCATTTTCGAGGTCCACAAAACACATGCGAACCTCTTTGGCGTATTCCCAATGTCGCTTGAGAATCTGGTGAAGAGTTCGTCCGTGGTGTTACACGCATCATGCCTTTAGCATGGTTCTAATGAAGAAGTTCCATGAACTGTGTGGACCCCCTCCTTTGATCAATTCCCCCAAAACGATCAACTTTTACTCTCGGCTCTTGGCTTTCATCTTGATCAGAAATGAAAAATGGAACTGTGCAACGACTTTTAAATGGAAGCAATGCTGTGTGGGAGCTGTGGGTGGTGTGGGGGAGAGGGCTCTTGGTAAGACAGATGGTCTGTCCATTTCTTTTTCATCTCTCCCCCACTTAATCAGCATTTTTTCTCCTCTTTTTTGCCGTGAAAACCTGAAGTCCCCAAGTCTGTCTCTGTCTTCCATTATGAGATCATAGCCCCATCCTCCTATATCCAAATAAATCGGGAAGAAAGATTGGGTGGAGAGAGGAGGAGGAAAAAAGAGATAGATAACACGTACCATTACCTAAAAAGTTCTTACTTTCAAAGATCCATCTGGTTTGCTTGCTGCGCTTCCATGGGTGACTTCAAGGCAGAAAGATTCTTTGAAATACTGGAGACAGAAGTGGAAAAACATTTCGTGGGGAAAGCCTTTGATGATAGATGCATCTCATGCCTCCTTGCATTTGAAAAGCAGGAATTCCTCTTATCTGATTTATGCCTTTCCCATTCAAAGAAATTGGATCTCTCTCATCTCTTGCCCAAAGGGACAGATGCTTGAGTGCACTGCATCCTCACTCTTCATTTGTGACTAGTTCACAGGGTGACACAGACGTGTGCTAATCTGCCCGACCCTGTATGTGTAAATTATCACCACTGTTCAATTACTGCATTTCACTTGACAATCATATGCCCTATCAGTTGCCTTTGATTGGAGATTTGCCAAGGGGAAAAAACTGCTTTTCCCAAGGTCAGTACGGTTGCTACTTGGTATATGAAAATATTAGCCCTTTCCTCCTAGCTCATTTCAATGAAATAAAAGGAGAAACACAAACTTTTTCATCACATTTCCTTCCATTTTTTTCTATTTGCATTTTTGAAAATGGCATATCAATGCAACATGTTCTTCAGCACTACTGCTACCAATAAGAGATGTTCTTGTTTTCTTGCAGGACACACATGCAGAAACAATCTATGATTTGGCGTGGCTGGATGACCAATTTCTGGTGTCTGGTGGTCGCGATGGTCGGCTTGCTCTCTGGAAAGTCACAGAGATTGACCGCAGCGACGATCCAGATTCTGTCGGGGCGAAATGTCTCAAGCCAATCACCAAGGTCACATGCTCAGGACGTGATAGTCTTCGAGCCTTGGCTTACAACCCTTTGATGCATGACATTGTGGCAGTCTCAGTCCAGTATAATCTTCATCTTTGGGATCCAGTCACTCTCAGTCAGGTGAGATTTTTTGTGTGTTCACTGATGACTGGTCCTGATGATATGGGTGATGGTACTGTTCAAATATGTGTAGAGGTAATGTCTGGGTAGTGTAATAACATTAATAGTAAATATCAATAATTATTTAGTAAGCATGATCTCCAAATGATTTTGATGTAGTGATGCATGAAAAAAAGTTATTTGCATTAGTTCTAATCTACATGCAGTGATGATCATTTGCATATTTGTCTGTTTCAGAAATATTCCTTTCGTCTGCCCCGGAGATTAGAGAATGTGTGCCTGGCAGTATATCCTAACAACAAGCTTTATGCTGTTGGTTCCAAGAGTCACACCTCCCTGATCGATGCACGCACCGGCCAGTGCATCAACAGCTTCCCTACGCGCTACTGTGGCTGCAGTGAGTTCCTCACATGTTGTCAAGCGCCTTTCATCTTTGCAAAGGATTTGAGATCCTGTGTCCTTTCCTGCAGGTGTGCGATCTCTGTCCTTCCGGGAGAGCCTCCTGGTGATCGGAACTGGGGTCGGAGCCGTGTTCGTGTATGACATGCGGGCCGGAAAATATCTTCAGTCTCTGTCCACCAAGGCCAAGGCTGTCATACTCAAAGCTTCTACCAGTGCCTTGGTCTGTCCCTTCTCTTTTCGTATAACTATGACATGGAACTTCATTCTTTAAACAAATTCAATATTAAAGGGCACAATAATGCCATATTGAAAACATGCTTAGCAAAATGGCCATTTCTAGTAGACATGTAGCATCATGAAAAATTTCACATTATGGATCAATACTTCTGAATATATTGAAATACAAAAGGGAGGGGTTGATTTACATTTTGGTTGGCATTATCTATTTTGATTAACTTGATAGAAGGTCTAATAGCCATTGGAAATGGCAGTGAGTGGGGGCAGTATCTAAGCTTCTCAGATGTGAATTTACTCGTGTATATTATGACCCTGAGCCACCATAATGCTAAGGAAGTGTTTGAAAGTTTCAACTCCTTAAATGGGGAATTCCTTGGACAGAAGTCTACCACAGGAGTGAGGGCTTTTATTCATGAGAGTAATTATTTTATATTTTTGTACTGAAATTTACTACACTCTTTTGAGTTTATACTCCTATTTTGAGTTTTGAGTTTACATTTATTTCAAACAAGCAAAAAATAGAATGACATATAAATGTCAAACCCACCTAGGGGAATGTTTCACCATGACACCATATACATCATATCCTGAAATGCTACCTGAATCATGTGTAGAATTTGGTGGTATATATATCACTCTTAATTTCAATTTATTACTTAGGTCTGTGAGAAAATGGTGCTGAATAATGATTGATATATGAAGCATATAAAAATACGACATCTTGCCTTCATTTATCATTGATTTTAAAGGGATCATAGCATTGGATGCTGCTGCAAGCAATATCCTTGACTTGAAGTCATTGTTTAGTTTTTGAAGTTCCATGTCATAGTTATACGAAAAGAGAAGGGAC